GGGGGGGGGGGGGTTGCGCACGGAGGGAGGCGTCGATGTCGCGGACGATCGACCGGATCTCGCGGAAACTCGCGGGACGCCACGTCGTAACTTCGACGTCGGCAAGCACCGTCTTGACGGATTCGGTCTTTCGGTGCCGAGCGAGCGGCATAATGAGATAAATTTGACAAACGGCTCGGCGGCTTGAGTTTACCCGACGAGCATCTCCGAAGTGTAGGAACCGAAATGTGGGTCATTAATTCAGCCGGTCGGTTGAATGCAACCCCTTCGTTTCCGAATTGATCGCGGACTCGGACGGGCCTGATTTCATTTCAAATTCCACCAATGAGAACTCACCATGCGCAGAGTCGAGTTTTGTATTATCTTCTTCCGCAGTTCCTCGCGAGTTCCTCGAACGATCTTCGTTTGGAAAAGTGACGGATTTTCGCGACGGTTACTCGCGCAAAGCGTACGCTTTCCATTTCTCTGGGACTTAAGTGACCGAACGGTATCTCCGAAATTTTGCAAGGCGAGATGATCAATTCCAGGTGGCGAAGTAATTAATTCCGCAAAAGACGATCACTTAACTCTCGACGCGCATGCGCGCTCGGCCCTCCGCCGCTGTAAACGCCAAATTTCCGAAAACGATCCCGTATGGAACGCGCGCGTACACCCACGCACACCCGTATGTGTGCCCGTGGAAGAAAATAATTACCGCAGCCGTTAACGATCCGAATTCTATCTTGGTTTCGCGTCGCGTCCCCTTGCGCGTGATCACCCCGTGTCGGCACTTCCTCGGCGTGATACCACCAACACACCATCAATGGCAAACCAAGCAGTAACCAAGAGCCCAGCCAAACCCCCCTCTTAACCCCTGCCCCGACTACCCCCGCCCCCCTTTTACCAAAGTACCGTCTTTACGACTAACTAGAGCACGTATTGTACGCTTCTCTTATTTGTGCACAGTTTTCCTGGTTTCTCCCGGCTTCGTATGCACACGAAGGGAGGGTCGCCAGTGGCCTTTGTCGAATACCAAGACGTTCGCTACGCGGCCCAGGCGATGGCCACTCTCCAAGGATCCTTTCTCCTCTCCTCCGACCGGGGAGCGATACGAATCGAATATGCAAAGTCAAAAATGGCCGAGGTGGGCTTTACAAATCTCTGGATCGAAGTAGGTTCCACTTTATGCTACGATAGACCGCTACGAAGGATGCGGGGGCGGCTCTAGGTGCGAGGGGGAGATGCAGGCCGAGAGGTCCTCGCAAGCTCCGCGCGGTCCTCCTCGGGCCGCTCGCATTCCTCGGGAAATTCAGTTCGCGGCCTCGACGGATGGCTCCGACGAGAGAGAATTACCGAGAAAGACCGAGGAGACGCTCTTCGCGCGCGCGCGAAGAGGGGATCCGGCCTAGACGAATGTGTTTATTGCGGTCAAGCGAGGAGCTTGCGTCCTTGAAGCCTTCCGAACACCCAGGGCTCTCGCTTATGCGTAAGCCCTCGGCACGAGTGTGTTTACTGTGATCTAGCATGAGACCCTTTGCGCACACACACACACACACACACACACACACACACACACACACACACACACACACACACGCGCGTACACTCACACACATACACACACACGTAAATTCGAGGCTCTGGGTGCTCATCGCTCGACGGTAGAGCCGCCTCTGCGAAGATGATGCGATCGAGGGCGAAAACGCAGGGCTCTCTGTGCTTTCGTCGACACTCCACGCTCGATTGTTCCTCTCTCTCTCTATCTCTCTATCTATCTCTATCTCTCTCTCTCTCTGTCTCTCTTTCTCTCTCTCATTGGCAGCGCGGGCTTCGTTGTTGACGTTAGCAATGCTCCGTCGGAAATACGATTACCTTGCATTCCGCCGAATGAAAAACAGATGGACGCGCGTGAGAACGTGAACAATGAGTTTCTAATGACATTTCCCCGAGAGGAAGATTCATTCGGCGAGTTATCGGAGGAACTGTTGCGCCGACTTGGCGACGTAAAGGGTTTCGCGAAATACAAGTTGAAATCTGTGGATTAAGATTCACGCGTAACTGTTGATCCACGGTATATCTACTCGTGTTTCTCTCATAACAACACGTTGCCTCGTCTTACAAAGAGTCCACGCACCGCTTGACGGCATCGACGTTCCGCCGGAGCATAGCCGCCGCGTTTTCGTCCGGTGATCGAAACGTGTGATTCCGGCGAGTTTCACAGATCTCGACGCCACAGACGCGGAAAGCCGAGCCTCCCCCCTTCCGCTTATATCCGGCGAGATGAGGAAGAGAAAGATAGATCGTTGATTGACACGCGCGCGCGCGCGCGCGTCGAGGCATCGAGTTCAGCCGCGCCCGCGGCGCCGAGAATCGTCCTCGCCGGAGTTACGCGCCAATTCGGATCCTCATTCATCGTCGGCGTCAGCCGAGACGCGCCCGGGCCCAGCGGATCCTGGATCCAATTAATTCGCTCATTATTCCGCACCTAATCCGCGCGCGCGGTTTCGCCCTCGAGAGAGCGCACAGCGCGCGCACGCCTCGAGGCGACAGACGAGCCGTCGCTTTGAAGGCCAATTAAAGCCGGCCGAAGGACCGACGACGACGACGGCTGTCCCGTCGGGGACCACGCCGAGGATTCGGCCACGGTGCCGATCGCCAATTATCCGTCGTTATCAATCGTCACCAACCGGCCACGCGAAAAGCCGGCGCGACACGAGTCCGCCCAACTTTCTTTCGCTCTTTCGTTCTTTCTGACTTTGTTTTTCCGTCTCTCTCCCTCCCCCTCCCCACCAGCTCCCCCTTTTTTCTCTCTGTCGCTCGATTGACACCTGTATTCGCGTGTTGTTCTGCTTTCGGAATATTCGATGTTCGATCTGCGACGAGTTATTATTCCTCTTTTTTGCGATCTTCTCTCTTTCTCTGTCTCTCTCTCTCTCTCTCTCTTTCTCTCTCTCTCTCTGTCTCTCTCTCTCCCCTGAGTTTCCACACGACCCCGCGGAGGGGGAAAGACTGAAATCGGTGTAATTTCGCGACGAGCTCGGGGTTTGATGTTCAACGAGACACGCGAAAACGAGCTCCGCGATTTGTGGGCCGCAACGAGCGCCGCAGTGAGCGCGCAAGACCGCGTTTGATCATATTTGCAATCCCAAGGAATGAACGCGGCCAAATTACACCGTGCCAGGTCCCGCCTCTTTCCCAGCGTGTAACCTCCCGCATTCCTTCTCGATCGACCCTACCTGATTGACTAGACCCGTTCAAGTTCCGCTGCTCGTTCTACGTAAATCCCACCTCTTCCACGTACGTAAGATCCGTTTGTTTCAACCTTGTATGTTGATTTCTGCTGTATCTCTTTCTGTTTTGACGACTCTATCATAGAGATGCATCGATGCACTATGCACCATCCTCTGTAGCAGAGTATACTAATTGGCTGTAATAACGCTTGGGACAAAATCGGATGTGGAAAGTGTGTATTATAAATCGATCTCGCCGTAAATTATCCTTTAGCGGCGTCCGGCTCGTAATTCATAATTCGCGTTTGTCGCAATTGTTTTACGACTCAAGCTTGCGCACACGTGCACCTCTCTCGAAATTTGATCGAAATCTAATCGCTTCTCGCTCCTACGTCCATTAGATTCCTCTTTGCGTATTTGCAAGAAAAAAAAAATGAAAGAGAAATATTCCGTTTCGGATTCAAGTATAAGGAGTTGAGATTACTTGTCGTCTCACAAAATTGATTTCCGTCCTTGATTCAATTCCGATCGTTTGAAACAAAACGTATCGCGCGATCCGGAGGATCGTGGTGAAAAGTCGCGCCAGGCGGAAAAGAGAAGAGAACAGGTCAGACAAAACGATGACTCCGAGGTTCCGCTTTTAATCCGAGGCCGTATTTCCGCCGATGAAGGAATACTTGTCGGACATTTAAGGGATCGATCCCACTTACGTAATTTAAGGGCCGAACTAAGTTCAACCTGCAGGTTATCCGACCGCTAAAAGGATTGAACTAATTAATTAGCTAAGTAATTAAGCTGCATTAAACGAAGTCGGCGGAGTCGTTCATTTGGCCGAGATATGCTGGTGGTATTTCAGCGAGGCTCATGACAGCGATAAGCATATTACTCGTGCGTGACAGTCGAAGCCACAATGTATACACGTCGAAAGAGAGAAGTTTCGCATCACTTTCCAGCCGAACGAGCTCGCGCTCGCGTGAGAAGCCGAGCGGAGTTCGGGAGTCGAAACGCGCGAGAATGCGCGAGTTTTCTGATTCCCGCGAATTCGGAGAAAAAGAAAAAAAAACGAGCAAAATAAGACCGAGGAAATATCATATCGCATATGGTCAATTATATTTACACTCTCGGTAAATATGTGCCAAGGAGTATCGGAGTAACCATTTCACTTGGATCAAATAAACGTTACTCGAACGGTAGCGCTTTTCTCAACGGGTGTAACGATTTGCAAATCTTTCGTTGAACAAATGCAACGTGAATGTTACGTCGTTTCGAGAGGCCGAGGAGGTTAGAAGTCTCTCGCGGATCCGGCGAGCCGCTCGAGGAGACGTTGGAAAGTCGAATTACCCAGCCGAAAGTGTGTCATCAGCGAGGGAAAAATATCGAGCGCGATGAAGAAGCGCGCTGCGGGTCGCGCTCGACCTTCCGCTTTGAAATCGGCGGATCGATAGCCGCTCCGCTCGGCCGCGATTGTTCCGCGGCTTGTTTATTCATACGTGATACGCTGAAAAGTTACTATTGGTCACGCCACAAACGGAGCCGTGCGCGCGGCTGGATCGACCTCCCCCTTTTCGAATTAAACGATCGATACGCGGCCCGCTCTCGGGGCTGGGCGCGGGACACGTCATCGTTAATTCACCTCGTTTTATGGAGGATGTCTGGCACCGCATCGTCCACCTGCTGGGACGTCCGATGAATTAAAACTCTTGCTCTTTTTCGCCCCGATCGTAATTCTATGAATATTCCCTCCCCCCCCCTTTCTCTCTTTCTTTTCTTTATTTCCTCGCGTACACACACAGACACACATCGGGAAATCTTTCGCATTTACGTTTTCGTCGAGTAAACGAAAACTTTTTATCTCGCGCGTGTGTGTGTGTATATGTGGATGAACGGGTTTGTTGGAAAGTAGGAAGAACCCGGGGGAGCCGAGTCGTCGGAACCATCGCGAGTTGTGTTTAATCTTCCAATTCCGGGATTAATGGACTCTTGGATTTTTGCATTTGCGAATGTGGGCGTTCGCATACATATATTCAATTTGCGAGAGTCCCCCTTACGGGATCCGCGGGATTCGCGTCGAATTTTAATATCCGAATCTTTTTCCCATGTAAATCGCGAAGCATTTGAATCTTCGCGACCCGTCGTCGCGCGGCGTCTCTCTCTCTCTCTCTTTTTCTTTATTTTTCCCAAGACTCGACGCGCGCGTCGCGGTGACGGTCGTCCCGACGGGGGAATACATATTAAAATATTCTTTTGATTACGCCGAGAGATGTATTGTTTCCGATATACGTCGATACACGTCGAACGTCTCCGACGGTGTGCCGATTTCTCTGGTATCTTTTCGAGACCTCCGCGTCGCCCTTTCTCTCTCTCTTATTCGCACGTCGCGCCCGCGCTCGATGTCGCTCCCGTCGCCCTGAGAATCTCCACCCCGCTATATAAATTGCGTTTTATTCATAAAATCTCTGTTTGTTCCCGCGGGACTTCTCTCCCCGAGACGGAACGAAATTCAATCTATCCGTCCATATTCCCTGTACCCCTCTCACGCCCCCCCGCCCCTCCCCCTCGTGCCCTTCCGTGCGTGTACACCACCACTTCTCCTTCTTCGTCGTCGTCGACCGAGAGCTCGGGACAGAACTCGCGAAAGAGTGCTGTTCAGCGCAGTCACGTCCTAATGAGGTACGCAAATTACTCAATGGCAAGCCGTCGCCTCGACAGCTCCACGCGGACGCTCTTTATCCGGTAACGAGACAAATGTAGGTTGTCCTTTCATTCTCGCTCTCTCGGCCACCGCCGAGTTCTTTCTTCACATGGCCGTGTGCGCGCGAGCCCGTGTGAACGATCGAGTAACGCGGGATTGAGAAATCCGTTGCGAAGCCCTCGGCTTCTCGGCTATTCCCCACGTTCGGGTCCTTGAACCTGAAAACGACCCTGGACCTTGGACTTCTCGGGACCTTCGAGCCTCCGCACGGGAAAAGAAATCGGTATCAATTCAAGACTCGCGTATAAGCAAGAATGCACAAACTTGTGTGAAGAGAAAATTCGTTTTCGCGAAGAAACGTTGTATAATTCCGATAAAAATATTCTCGCGTGCTGTTCGAGAATAATTTTCACGAATTGAGAGGAAAACAATATCGATCGCAGGGATTGATATAATTCTTAGTTTGAAAATATCGTTCTTTCTGCCCGACGTTTTTTCCTCTCTATTCACGAAAATGATTTTTGAACGAGAATGTATGTAATATTTTTAGCGGAACACAGAATTTCTTCGTGTAAGCGAGTTTTATCTTCACGCAAAATTATGTAATATATCCTTTCTATACGAGTCTTGAATTGACATTCATGTTTTTCCCGTTCACCGTGCTCCTCATTTTCGAGCGCGTACGAATAACTATTGCATCTGTTTGTGATCAGACGAAGATGATGCGAAACTTCTCTCTCGCGTATGTGTGTATCGTTAAGAATGATATAACTGGGGGAATTCCAATCCACTTTATGGGTTGACACTATGCCTGACGTCACAGCATCGTTGAACCAGACCGTTGAGGAGATAAAAAGACGTCTTATCTCGACACCTCTTTCGCGAAGCGGATTAAAATTCCCTCAGCTACCGTGAAGAATGCCTGTCGTCAAAGCGCTGAGAGCCTCGGTGAGCCAAGCAAAGAATAATTCAGCTTCTAATTCTAATCCCTGAGAGCGTATCAATGGCGAACACTCGGCGCGACCTCGCGGGGATCGTCGTCTCGCTGCGACCGGGGCGATTGCTCGCGCGTGTCGGGCGCGAGCGAACGACGAGATCTCTCCGTCGCACCACGAATCGTCCTAATCGATCGCATCCGCTTTTTCAGGGATCAAAGAGACAAGAAAACGGCCAACCTTAAGATCGACATCAACGGCATGTAAAGAGGCGGAGAGAGAGAGAGGAGATCGGCCGGCCCGAGGAGACGGCGGGACGCGCGCGCTCTCGTCAGACAGGACATCCACCGGAAGGAGAAAAAAGAGAAAAACGGCGGAAGCGAGGGAAGGAGCCGCGCAGGAAGCCGGACTCGTAGTCGCAGTCGAGCGCTCATCGGCTTACCGAGAGAGAGAGAGAGAGAGAGAGAGAGAGAGAAGATCGGGTTGGCGATACGTGGGAAGCGGGAGCACGTAGTAGACACATACACACACGAACACACACGAAAAGTCGAAATGAGAAAGAGATAGAGAGATACAGAGTCGATGGTAGAGAGAAGAGCAGGGAGAGTCGAAGTTCGTCCTTTCGCCGGAGGGAAAGGGACGGAGGACAAGCAGCAGCAGCAGCGCTAGACAAATTCTGTAAATTCTACGACGTTGCGTCGAGCGGAAGCGTAGTTGGTTCGCGACTCTAGCGGGGGGCCCAATGTAATCACGTAATATTCCTAGGTATATATATTTTTTAACGAACTTAACTTATCTCGATTCGCGTACCTCTACCTGTATCTATTTATTTTCACCGAGTTCTTGACCGCAATCGACGACGACGAAGCGAGAGAGAACGGGGGGCAACAGGATGCATGGGACGGAGCAGGGTGTAGGTCCAAGGGGGGAGAAAGAGGAGGATGGGGAAGAGCGGAAGCAAGCGAAGCGGATTTCGTTTCTTGTATACATATGTAAAGAAGGAAGGCACTCTTCGAGTCACACGCGCACGTTGTATCGACACTTGTTCACACTCACACACGTACACAGAGAAAGAGAAAGAAAGAGAGAGAGAGAGAGAGAGAGAGATACATACACACGACACGCATACAATGACACGCGACATTCGCGGAGATTCTTTCGGGTTTTCACTGAGCGCCGCGTTGCCACCCCGGAATGCATTCGCGATGCACCATGAAAATTGTACGCTCCGCGGCAGCTCATTGTTTCAGGGACGGGCATTTCCGGAGGAATCCATTTCGGCGGCGCCGACGAGAGATGAGTTTTTCGAATTACTCTCTCTCTCTCTCTCTCTCTTTCTCTCTCTCTCGTAGGCGCGATCGAGAAAACGATTCCTCTCGCCCGAGTCTCTCTCGCGAAAATTTATATACACACCGCGCGCAAACGCGCAGTTCGCAGCAGACGCGCGTTCGAGCTCGCTCTGACTGACGCGCTCGATGCGCGATTGATTGACATTGCGCGATGCAGACCTCGGTAGCGGCTTCGAAATTGCGTATTCCACACACGCGCGCACACACACACACACACAGACACATACACATACACATGCGAGAGAAACAAGCGAGTTACGAAGGCGAGTACATCAAGCTTAATACCAAAGGTGCCCTAAGAAGCGTGTATTTATGTTTTATCATCGGCGCGTCGCGCGAGAACGAGCACGCGTACATTTAACTATGGTATCTTGTTAAGGAGAGTCTAGAGTCCTAGGCGAGAATGAGGACGAGATGAGAGTGAGAGAAATGAGAAAAGGGAGCGAGAGTAAGGGTGAACGAGCAAAAGTGTAGCGAGAATGAAAGCGTGAGTGCAACAAAAGGAGTGTATGCGTATGAGAGAAAGAGATAGAGCGTGTGTGTGTTTTGTGTCTGCGCGCGCATGAGTGTGTGCATGGCGACAGGGAGAAACGGAGGAGCGACCAGAATGATCGTTAAGTAATATAACCTTATACATATACATATATATATATATATATATATATATANGAACGCGAACATATCATAAAATATAAGCCTGTAGAGGAGAAATTAAAGAAAAGCGGCGAGAGAACTCGAGCGACCGTTCCGCTTTACCGCGCGGCATAATCGTGCGGGAGAGGGCGAACGGACGACGGCAAAAGGAGGTGAGTGATGATGAGGGAGAAGAAGACGGTGTGTGCCCCGCGTGTTAGAAACGGCGGCCAACTCGGCACGTAATTTGCCCAAGTGCCTTCCCGTTGGTCGAGTCACAATCTGTAATCGCTGTAGCGCGTTACTTAGGTCTCGTCCCGATTTTTCGAACTCCCAGAGAGAAAGAGAGAGAGAGAGAGAGAAAACGAGAGAAACCGGCGCGTCTCTACATGCAACTGTAAATCCAAAAAAAAATGCTCCATTTCGCTCCTCTGTCGCGTATCCCCCTTCTCCTCCCGCCCACTTTCCGCTTCCTCGACGGAGGAAAGCTGCAACGAGGACACGCTGAAGATCCCATAATGATACAGGGATCAAAGGCTGCTCGGCTTCGAGCCGGAACCTGTTTACCGGGATGTAGCCGAAGAAACGAGCTCGCGAAAATCTGTAATGGTTGTCGCAACCGACGGATACTTCCCTTCGACATGCCCCGGGTTTCCCTTTACGCGCTGTCTGTTATTGTGAAGACGACGGCATACACTTAATAGCCGTCGCCGGGGCATTCTCTCTCATCACAAATGCATGCGAACGCATCTTCGGGTCGTATGGATATTTATTCTGTCTGTGGCGCGCAAAGGGAGGACACTAATCGCTCCGCGTTTCGAAGATATTTGCCGGTAGTTAAATTTGAATCAATCACGAGGCCGGACCTACGGCAGTACCTGGCGCGAGCGCTGAAAGATTAAGCGCGGAACCAATATCCTTGTCGCTACGTGATCGAGCTGTCGTAAAAGTATTCTCTCCTGAGCGCCTGTTTATTCGAAGAACGTCAAAAATTTACGCCAGAAATCATGTCACATATATTGGAGCCTATAATATTTTTATAGAATTGTAAAAAAAAAGTATTGACATATACATATCGCTCACGGCTATATTTTACTTTTTCAGTTTCCTTTGAAAATTGAATGATTAGGAAATATCGATCTAAAATCCCACTGGCAGAATTTATCGAGAAACGGGAAAGGGATTCGTCAAAACTGTAAGAAAAATCGCGGCGATCCCACCGCAGCTTCCGCCGGCGAGTCCTCCGCTTTCACGACTAATCCTCTCCCCCGCCCCACCCCCGTTCATTATGCCTGGGCATGTATAACTCGCATCTGACGTGAGTGAAAATCAGTTAGAAAGCAAGAACAGCCGCCGATCAAAGGAGGAAAACGCAGAGAGAACTGCGATATCGCCGGTATTACGGCGATGCTCATCCGCCGGCGGGCGAACCGATCGATCCATCCGTCGTCACCGTTCGCCCGTCATCGTCGTCGTCGTCGTCACCGATCGTCAAGCGATCGTGAGATCGTGCGCCAGTACGTTCTTTATTTTTCTACAAAGAGCGATCGGGGAGGAGAAACGAAAAGAGGAGAGCGAGAACCACGTGTGAAATTATGTCGCCCTACGATATCGGGGCTTTTGATGACACATCGAGATGTTGCGCGTGACATTTTGCGCGAAAGGAAAGAGAAGAAGGCGAAGCGAAAAGACGAAGAAACAGACGTCACGGTCGCTCGAGCGGTTCGAGTCGGCCGCCTTAACCCTTTGCATTCTGCCGCTCGTCACTTCACATATCATGTCAATGTGGACGACATACTTTGTACGATCGTACACTGCGGATTTAACGATGAGGCTTTAACCAGCTGCGACAAATTTGTGATTTACGAAAGTATAATTTAAATTACGATCGAATCGAGGCCTTACACGTTTTACAATTCACGAGCGGCGGGAGTAAAAAGCCGACGTCTCTTCCCTCGCGCGGGAACATCGGCGACGGTGTAATTCGGACGTTTAAAAGGGAACCGCACACGATGCGATTAAACGGAGGCAACGTCGATCATCGGGAAGGAAAACGGATTTTATCGCGAATTTTGCACACCGGGATTGCACGTTGGCTCTCGCGTTTTCTTCATCAAAAGATACGATGGTACCCTCGACGCGTATTTTGCAACTAGAAAAGGAAGGAAAAAAGTATAAATTACATCCGAGCGCAAAGGGTTAATGGGATACGCCAGTGTTAAGAATAAAGAGGGAACGAGGAGAGAACGAAAAAGAAGAGGGAGACTCCAAAGACTCGTTAAGAGTTTTAAATCCGTCGGGGATGGTACACGAATGAGATAAATATCCGGGAAGGAGCGGAAGAGAGATAGAAGCGGTAGGACGAGGAGGAGGGGAAGGGCAGCGAGAAGTGCAAGAAAAGACAAGCTTTTTTTAGACAACGTGGCCGCGCGATCGCGCGAGCGTACACGATCGTCGATCTTTGGAGGGGGGTTGCGGCAAGTGGATGCGCGGCAAACATTATTCGGTGTTCTCATAGCCCGTTAATTTTGTAATTAGCCGTTAAGAGGCGGATTCGTCATCCACGATCCATCGGCGCGACGAATCGTTAGATTGAATTTTAAAGTGCTTTACAAATGAACTAACACATATCAGTAGGCAGTACGCTATTACATATTATATATATATATATATATTATATATATATATATAGAATAGTATTTGTGTAAGGATAATAGAAGTTAATATATAAAATATGGAAAAGTATGTATATATACATACATATATATATATAAATATATATATATATATATTTATATATATGTATATATATCTACAGATAGATATATATATATATACGAAGAAAAAAAATATATATATAAACCGCGCGAGACGTTAAAACAAAAAGGGGGCGAGGAGTACACGTCAATCAGATATTTTGTACCGTCTCTAGGGAGTTATTCTAGCGGGTCAGTTTGATTTCCTTTTTATATACGTATTATATAAATATATACACATCACACACGCGTAACACGCGGCTAATCGCGGGTGCCAATCATGCGCAACGCGACGGTATGATTGAACGTGCATCTGCATTGTTCTTCCTTTTCGCAGAGGCGAAGCGGAGGTCATCGATCAGTGGATGGCGATCTCGTGGAAGAGAGTCGTATAGTCGCTGTTAAGAGCGACATTTCCGCGTATTATTTATTTATTTTTTATTATATTTATTATTTATTATATTTATAAATTAAATATATAAAACATATTAGATATACATGAGATACACGTTTGGATTTTTCTATCGTATTCGGAAATGTGACAAATTTAAGGGACGAATTAGCGAATTGTTCGAGATTTCCCAAAGTTCGGGCGTTCCGAGGAGCTTTCGGATCACGATCGAGTGCATACGACTTTTCCCCCCGAGGAAGGGGGCCCGCTCTGCAGTCGTCGATGCGCATGATTGATCCACCACGCGCTCCGGCGAATCACAACATCTCGTACGGCGTGTACGCGTGTCGGAAACTTCATTCATGACCAGCGAGAGCTTCGCGCGTCGCTCGAAACTCATCGGACGGAAAGAAAGGAAGAGAGAAACAGAGAGAAAGAGAGAGAGAGAGAGAGAGAGAGAGAGAGAGAGAACGAGAGATCACCAAAGATGTCAATGTATCGATCCAAAGACCTACCAAGAGACCTCACGAGGATATTACCTTCGCTATGAAAGAGAGAAACACGTCGTCGAACAACAATGCTCGACCACGACGAGAGGAAGAGACCGACCGACGCGAGCTCGTACGCCACGCACGCGATATCTGCCTCTTGCTGTTCGACTTTCCCTCGCGATTCCGTCCTCGCGGGAGGATCCGGTCTTCGAGATCCTGGGCTCTCCGGCGACAGCTGTTCCAAAGCCACGCGAAAACCAACTCTGAACACGGCCAGCCTCGATATTCCTATCGAGATGACCGCCGGGCGATTTGGCACTGAACGCCCGCGATCAGCGACGTCCGTTGCCGACGACGGTCAAAGACCGAGCGCGCGATAATCTGACGATCGTGATCGCGCCTAATCACCAGTCATTAGCCTTTCCGGTGCTCCGGAGGGGGACGGGCGAGGGAAAGAGGGGAAAGGAAGAGGGATATCGGGCGATCACAGGAGCCTGTGTGACTCGGCGAAGAACACGAAGAAGCGGATAAATTGTCGCTTCTTGCTCGCGACTCGTCGTGAGACACAAATCACGTCGGACTCGCCCGGCACCAAAAGGGCTAAAGGATATGTATCTTGTCATACTACATGCACACTGACACACACACACACACTTACGCATATATACCTGAGTATATAAGGCAACCAGGATCAATACGAACCTCTGAAAGTATAAGGATCATCGCGGGGACGAGACACGAGAAGCGAAAGAGCGGAAGGCGCGAGAGGGAGAGATTTGGAGAAAGTGAGTGAGAGAGTGAGGGAGAGAACAAGAGAGAGAGTGAGAGAGAGAGAGAGAGAGAGAAGAAGAATGAGGACACGCGAGGGTGTTCGTCGCGCGACGCGTTCGAGAACGGCGGATCCCCGTCGCAACAATACATATCAATTTTCTAACGCGCGAGATGCGGATTTGCCGCGGCGACGATGCACCGGGTGATCGGCGGGACCCGGCGAATCGTTCGCACTGACCAGTGATAAACGGTCGAGGGGAGCTTATACATTCCGGACGAGGAGGCGTCTCCGCGTGAGAGAGTGAAAGAGTGAGAGAAAGAGGAGGGGAGGAGTACGTTAGTCTGAAAAGAAGAGGCGCGACGCGCTTTCCTATTATTTCAATGCGATTTTGTCGATGGACTTAATTATTAAATGAATAATAATAGCCACGGCCGGAACGCGCGTACTCGTTCTAGCGGCGGAATTTTATTACCCGAGCGGGGGGAAGAAAAGAGAACGTCGCTCGGGAAGAAACGTTCTTTCGGGGATTTTATAAGAATTTGCGAAAGTACATAGGCTAATTAAGTAACTAACTATTTAGTAGGA